GCGCACCTCCGCAGAGCATTGAGCATAAAATTGTTCTTTCAGGAAGGCCTGAATAATTTCCTCTGCGGTGTAGGCCTGCTCCCCTTCTAGCCACCGCCGGCAGGACTGCGACATCTTGTGAGCATACATTTTGTAGGATGGCTCAGCATGGCAGGGGAGGTCGCAGAAATCAACCCGGTGTGTCTCTGGGGTTACCACGTACTCCAACACAGTCTGTTTGACCCGTGCGTAATCTCAGTTCTCATTGGAATCCAGTGTACGGTAGGCTGTGGCTGCACCCCTTCTAGCAGACCCACGAGGTGCCATAGCAAGTCTGTTTGCGGCACCTCCATGAGTTGGCACAGATGCTCAAAGTCTTGAAAAAAAACCTTCACATCCCCGTTGGCTTCGTTAAAGGGCTTAAAGTCTTTGCGGCTGACCTGGGGAGGGGGGGAAGCCCACTGCCCTGGGGCTGGAGGGACAACTTAGATCTTGGTGGCTCCCTTCTCTCTCTCTCTCGTGCGCCCTCCAGCTAGCCTCCCTTTTCTCATCTACTGTGGCATTGGGCCCCAGGATGGACATCTCCTCCTCCACCCGAGCAAACCAGGGGCTTTTGGATCCTTGGTTACAGTGTGTGGGGAGGTCAGGGTTGGTCTGCTCTCCTCCCTTGCTGGAGGGCCTTGGGGGTCAGCCTCTTCAATGGCTGTGACCAGGTCTTCCTTGGCTAAGCCCCTCCAGGTGAGGGACAGCTCCTTGGCCCTCTCCTGCAAACAAGACATAGTCCAGTTTCTGTACTCACTGGCCCGAGCCTGGTCTGGCATCAGCTGGCTCTCATCATCTGCCATCTCTCTTAGTGTTATGATCCCACCGCTGCCAACCAGTATGTGACGGAGGGTAGGTAGGACAGAACACACAAAGCAGATGGGAAACACACAAAGCTTTATTAAAGCAAATGACAGTCACAATCAATTGGGGAAGTAGAAAGGAGAGGGCTCAAAATAATTGTAGTTCAGCCCCAGGGGCAAAGTTAGAGTCTCTACAGAAGTTTGTAATACAAACAGGGAAATGGGGATGGAGTACAGGAACATTTCAGGGGAATAAAACAGGGAAGCATACACTCACAGATCCGGCAGTGATGCCCGGGTTCACAGCAGATGCCAGCCAGGGAGCGACCCTTCTCAGCCCACAGCAGGTGGTCCTGGCAGCAGGGACCAGGCTTGACTCTCCAGCAGCAGTATGCCAGCACTCCTGGGTGCAAAGCAGGGCAGTATGACAGCAAGTACTTGCCCTGAGTCCTGAGTATGCGTAGCGTAGTCCGTGGGTAATAATCCTCCCCAAGCCTGGGCTAATGCAGGGTGTAGCAATTCTCCCCCCCCAATCCTGGGTGACTGCAGAGGGCAGCTGGTGTATCTCTCCCCCAAATCCTGGGGTTTATGCAGAGTGGCAGCTGGTGTAGTTCTCCCCCAAATCCTGGGCTTTTCAGAGTGGCAGCTGGTGTAGTTCTCCCCCAAATCCTGGGACTTATGCAGAGTGGCAGCTGGTGTAGTTCTCCCCCAAATCCTGGGACTTATGCAGAGTGGCAGCTGGTGCAGTTCTCCCCCAAATCCTGGGACTTATGCAGAGTGGCAGCTGGTGTAGTTCTCCCCCAAATCCTGGGACTTATGCAGAGTGGCAGCTGGTGTAGTTCTCCCCCAAATCCTGGGACTTATGCAGAGTGGCAGCTGGTGTAGTTCTCCCCCAAATCCTGGGACTTATGCAGAGTGGCAGCTGGTGCAGTTCTCCCCCAAATCCTGGGACTTATGCAGAGTGGCAGCTGGTGTAGTTCTCCCCCAAATCCTGGGACTTATGCAGAGTGGCAGCTGGGTGCAGTGTGTAGTTCTCCCCCAAATCCTGGGACTTATGCAGAGTGGCAGCTGGTGTAGTTCTCCCCCCCCCCAAATCCTGGGACTTATGCAGAGTGGCAGCTGGTGTAGTTCTCCCCCAAATCCTGGGACTTATGCAGAGTGGCAGCTGGTGTAGTTCTCCCCCCCAAATCCTGGGACTTATGCAGAGTGGCAGCTGGGTTCGTTGCAGAGTGGCAGCTGGTGTAGTTCTCCCCCAAATCCTGGGGCTTTTGCAGAGTGGCAGCTAGCGTAGTTCTCCCCCAAATCCTGGGGCTTTTGCAGAGTGGCAGCTAGCGTAGTTCTCCCCTTTCTCCTGGGGCTTCTGCAGAGTGGCCACGAGGGTGACAGGTCCTGCATGGCTTGCCTTCAAAGAGCCATGGCAGGATGAGAGGTGGAGGGGGGTCATTATGAGCGGGCCAAGGGAGGGGGGGGAGAGCGGAGCAACAGGGTGAAATGTGATTTTATTTGGGACAACAGGATGAAATGTGATTTTATTTGGGACGATACTGACAAAGCACCTAAACCGTGACAAGTGCGAACACAAAATTCTGCCCAAGACAGAGTGAAATTCATTTCCTCCTGAACTACCTGATTTCTGGGGCTTCTCTAATGAGTTACTTATGCTCAGCCTTGGCATTATCTAAGTGGACCCTCACAGGGACCTTCAGCCATGTCAACCAATGCAGGAAAACAAGGCTAAGTACACCAAGTAACAGAGCATTAGTAAGCAAAAACCCAGCTACAATGACCAAATCCTGTAGTATCAAAAGGAATGGGGCAGCACAGTGGCTAAATGGTTATCACAGGGTCATTGGTTCAAATTCCAACCACGGCACCACCTGCCTGGAGTTTGCATGCTCTCCCTGTGTGGGTTTCCTCCAGGTACTCCAGTTTTCTACCTCACTCCAAAGACATGTTGGTAGGTTAATTGGCTCCTGTCTAAATTGGCCCTTGTATGTGTATGTATGAATGTGAGTTAGGGACCTTAGATTGTACTTAACGGTTAGGGACTGATGTGAATGCACAATATATATATGTAAAGTGCTGCATAAATTGACAGCGCTGTATAAGTACCTGTAATAAATGAATAAAACAGTTGCAAAGGTGACCACCAGTCCAGACCAAGGTTTGCTGGGGTGAAGATTCAATGGAAAATCTGTTAAAATGATTGTGACCTCCCATCCCAAGACATCAGGACATTTCACAGTAAAGACCTGGAATGGAACTGGGAAAAAAGGGAAAGCTACTTCCCAAGACCATCGTGAAAAAAAAAAAACAAATCAAGGAAACTTTACCAGCAACCTGAACAAAGGCACCTGAGAGAGCATATTAAGGCATTGTCTCTAACAGAAAAACCACTCTGGCCTGGGCAGTCTTCAGCCACAAGCCCTGATTTTCCAACCGCTGAGCCAGGAGTAATGCAGTATACTGGAAATGGAGGACCCAAGCAATCTCTGTGGAGTGGGCACCAGGAGATACTCATTGGGGTTGATTTACTAAAGCTGGAGAGTGCAAACTCAGGTGCAGCTGTGCATAGAACTATAGAAGCATAAATGTAGAACCTCCTGTCCTCTGGAACAATCACTTCCTGAAACAAAGGAGGATTCTGTGTTTGTGAAGGAGCAAATCTATTGTCCAGAATTAAAGAAAAAAAAACCATGAAGTGTGAAGTGAGGAGAGAAAAGGCTCCGAAATCCTAAAGTGTAGTCAGGAGCCACCGTGCTATGGATCCAGTCACCCAAAGCCACCTGCTTCTCTGCAAAAGTCCTACCCAACCCAGTCAGAGGGGGCACCTCTTCAAGTGAAGACCCTTGATTAGCTGGTGTGGATGCCCAGGACTCCTAATGGAACTGGGAACTGCAGCTGAAGGACTGAAACCTCAGAAGGGCAAAGGAAACATCTAATTGAAGTGGAAGGAGCAGAAGGTTGTTGGAACCGTGAGCTTTCCTGACTCCCTTAAGGCAACAGAGTGACCCCTCTTCAGAAGAACTTTCAGATATAATAACTTCTGTATGAGATACAAGATTGTTGGCTCTACTGGAAGCATACACCCTCCCTGAGTGAACTCGCTCTCCATGGGACATTGCCAGATGAATCTCTGCAGCAGAACAAACACTTCTTGGGGGTAAGTCCAGTCGACGTACTAGACATCCATATGGTGAGGGTGTAATGGGAAAGCGAAGGATATTGTGTCATCTGCCATGGTCCAAACCCTGAAGCCTCTTGATAGGAGGACTCAGGAAGTGGCAAATATAAATTCCACACAATAATTCACAAAGGCTCTAGGGGTCTGCCAAACACTGGGGTCCCTTTGGCATAGAGTCCTTGGAGGAGAAACCTTCTACCTGCCCTAAAATGTCATCTGCATCTGTTGATTCCGCCATCATGCCCCCCTCAATAATAAGGATGGGGAGGAGATGGGGAATGCACGCATTTGCAATCTAAATGGTCCAACTGGCACCAATCCTAGAAGCTAAGCTGTCTCTGAGCCAAGCAAATGCAGATTCCTCCATAATCACACAGGAATTGGAGGAAAGGTGCTCCAGAGGTAGCAGTGATACCCTACAGGTGAACAAAGCCCCAAAAGGAGACATTGACCCCCCAACTCTCTGCTGCCTAGTAGACATGAGGTCTGCTGACCCATATAGTGGGACTGATGTTGAACAGTGATCCTGGTCAGGTGAGGAGGCACTATGAGCTGGTTACCCCAGGAGATCACCTACCCATCCCCCATCAGGAAGGAGTATGCACATGTTGCCCTGGGGACAAGTCATTGTGTCTACCAGCAGGGCCCCATTAGCCCAGCAAAGTACCTAACAATGCAAGAATGTAGCTCCATCTAGTGTCCATAATGTGGTAATTACACCGCATTGCCTCATTATTACCACTAGATAATAATAGGATATTACTGTATGAAATAAAATACGGAACAATATTTCATCATGGCTGAGCAAATGCATGTCTGATTTATTCAAGTGTTTGTGAAGGCTTCCACCACAAAATGTACTCAGCCAATGACAGGGCAGGACTCCACTTTTATTCTTCTCCTGCTATCAATGGCCAACCCGGTCCCACACTTCATCCATGTCTTTGGGGACCTCTGATCTCCTTATGAACTGTTTCTTCCATGATGAAGATCAGCCATGAAGTATATCTGAGGTGTATATCAGGGTGTGCTTCTTCCCCACATGAGAGCTGGGATGTCCAGCAACATTCATCTAGAAGACATTTCCCGCACTCAAGGTTCTAATACACCTCCAGAGTTGTGTGGGACCCCTGATGTACAGGAAGACAGGACTTCAGTGAGGAATATTTCCCTCACTCAGGACAGGAAAGTGGGCTTCTCCCCCGTGTGAGATCTCTGATGTCTGGAAAGATCGGACTTGTGTGAAAAACATTTCCCACACTCAGGACATGAATATGGTTTTTCACCTGTGTGAGACCTTTGATGTTTGATGAGATCTGTTTTTTGTACAAAACATTTCCCGCACTCAGAACAGAAATATGGCTTTTCCCCCGTGTGAGACCTCTGATGTCTGTGAAGACTGGACTTCTGTGAAAAACTTTTCCTGCACTCAGAACAGGAATATGGTTTCTCCCCCGTGTGCAATCTCTGATGTCTGCCAAGACAGGACTTCTCTGAAAAACATTTCCCACAATCAGGACATGAATACGGTTTCTCCCCCTGTGTGAGATCTCCGATGTGTGTAAAGATTGGACTTCACTGAAAAACATTTCCCGCACTCAGGACAGGAATACGGTTTTTCCCCTGTGTGAGATCTTTTATGCACATTAAGTTGGAATTTAGAATGGAAACCCTTCCCGCACTCAGTACAGGAGAACCTCTTCCCTGTTGGAAGGCCGGCCCGGTCCCGCACAGTTTGAGGTTTCTCAGGATACGAGGAATCCGATGGTCCATCTACACTGGGTGGTGCCGGGTGGACATTGGAGGGAGCCGGGTTTTCTCTGGACTATACTGTGTGATGTCCTCATCTTCTACTTTATAGTCTGGAGAAAAAGAAATAAAAACGATTATTACAAGACAGGAGCAGATTGGTTCTCCTAAACCAGGACTCCGCCCGCATCAGGTACCTTTGTCTCTGTGGAACTTACAGTTCCACCCTCATGGAAACTGGAAAATGGGTCCTACAAATGAGAATATGTATATAGCAGTGGGGGGAGGGGGAGAGCAGAAGCCTGCACTATGGACTGTACAACATACTCTTTAAGATACAACAGTTAGGACTATATAGTATATCAGAATGATGTAATGTACAACATAGAGTATATAGTGCAGGGGTCAGGAGTATGTAATGTACAACATAGAGTATATAGTCCAGGGGTCAAGAATATGTAATGTACAACATAGAGTATATAGTGCAGGGGGCAGGAGTATGTAATGTACAATATAGAGTATATAGTGCAGGGGTCAGGAGTATGTAATGTACAACAGAGTATATAGTACAGGGTATGTCAACATAGGAGTATGTAATATGTAATACAACATAAAGTATATAGTGCAGGGGTCAGGAGTATGTAATGTACAACATAGAGTTTATAGTGCAGGGGTCAGGAGTATGTAAATATACAACAGGGGTCAGTATATAGTGCAGGGGTCAGGAGTATGTAATGTACAACAATGAGTATATAGTGTATGTAACGGGTCAGGAGTATGTAATGTACAACAATGAGTATATAGTGCAGGGGTCAAGAGTATGTAATGTACAACAGAGTAGAGTATATAGTCCAGGAGTCAGGAGTATGTAATGTACAACAGAGAGTATATAGTCCAGGGGTCAGGAGTATGTAATGTACAACAGAGTATATAATGCAGGGGTCAGGAGTATGTAATGTACAACATAGAGTATATAGTGCAGGGGTCAGGAGAATGTAATGTACAACATAGAGTATATAGTGCAGGGGTCAGGAGTATGGAATGTACAACAAAGTATATAGTGCAGGGGTCAGGAGTATGTAACATGCAATATACCATAAATTAGACAGTATAAGGGTCAGGACTCAAATTATTGGTATTTAGTGGAAGGTTAAAGGTTTACTATAGACAAGTTGCCGAGATCCCACACCGCTGCCTCCCATCTCCTGAGACTGCACTCAGTGACTTGGGTCTGAGACTATACAGACATATCCCTCCACCCGGCACAGCCAACAGACAAAAGAAAAACCTTAATAGAATTGTTCTGTCAGAGATCTTGCTAGGCCAGGGGATACCCAAGATACAAACCCAGGTGCCTAGGTAGAGCAACACCTATGAAGAAGACCAACATTTTGCTGCCAGCTGAACCCCAGAATCTCCATAAATCCAGTCTAGATACATAACTTGTGTCTTAAATTCTGATATTGCGTATATTATTATTATTATACAGTATTTATAAAGCGCCAATAGTTCGCTCAGCGCTGTACATTACAAAGGGGGACAGAACATGTGACAGAACAATACTAATACAATGCAAAACATGAGGGGATCGAGGGCCCTGCTCTTTCAAGCTTACAATCTAGGAGGGAGGGGATGGTGGCAGAAGAGGAGATAGCTGTGGGGGATGGAGTGGTAGGAAGAGTGGAGGAGGTCGGCAAGTTAGCAGGGGGTGGGGTAGGCTTACCTGAAGAGATGGGTTTTCAGGGTGCGCCTAAAGGAGAGGAGAGTAGGTGATAATCTGATGGGTTGGGGAAGGGAGTTCCAGAGGATGGGTGACACCCTGGAGAAGTCCTGGAGGCGGGCATGGGAGGAGGAGACCAGGGAACTAGAGAGAAGGAGGTCTTGTGAGGAGCGGAGTGTGCGTGTTGGGTGGTACTTGGATATTAGGTCAGTGATGTAGTTCGGGGCAGTATGGTGGACAGCTTTGTACGTCAGTGTTAGGATTTTGAATTTGATCCGTTGCGCAATCGGAAGCCAGTGGAGGGATTGGCAGAGGGGGTGGCGGAAACGGAGCGGTTGGAATGGTGAATGAGTCTGGCAGCCGTATTCAGGATGGACTGAAGCGGGGATAGCCAGCGGCGAGGCAGGCCAGTGAGGAGGGAGTTGCAGTAATCGAGTCGTGATATGATGAGGGAGTGGATGAGCTGTTTAGTGGTTTCTGGGGTTAGGAACGTGCGGATTTTGGCGATGTTGCGGAGGCGGAGTCTGCATGAGTTAGTTAAAGATTGGACTTGGGGCTGGAAGGATAGGTTGGAGTCCAGAATGACACCAAGTACTCTGGCCTGCGGGGCGGGTTTGATGGTGGCGTTGTTGGATGTGATGGAGAAGTCAATGGGGGGTGGTGTCCGGGCTGGGGGGAAGACAAGAAACTCGGTTTTGGAGAGGTTCAGTTTAAGGAAGTGGAGCGACATCCAGTCTGATATGTCGCTCAGTAGGTGTGTGATTCGGGTGAAGACTGAGGGGGTGAGGTGGGGGGTTGAGAGATAGATTTGTGTGTCGTCGGCATAGAGATGGTAGTTGAAGCCGTGAGAGTGTATGAGTTGGCCAAGGGAGGAGGTGTAGATGGAGAAGAGAAGGGGCCCGAGGACGGAGCCTTGAGGGACCCCAAAAGAGGGGGAGTGAGGGGGAGGTGGTAGCATTATAGGTAACGCTGAAGGAGCGTTGTGACAGGTAGGATGAGAGCCAGGAGAGAGCAGAATCTCTGAGGCCGAGGGAGTGTAGTAGTTTTATGAGGAGGAGGGGGGTGGTTGAGTGTCGAAAAGCAGAGAGGTCAAGGAGTAGTGAGCACTGAATAATGGCCATTAACTTAGGCGGTTAGCAGGTCATTGGAGAGTTTGAGTAAGGCAGTTTCGGTGGAGTGTAGGGGACGGAAGCCGGACGAAGCGTATAAGTGTTTACTCTGGACCAATCAGTGAGCAGTATGGGTGGAGTAATGTATTTAGTATTAATGCCCCACCTGTGCTGATCTCTGTAGGAGTGTCCTCCTCTATAATTATCCTCATTATTCCATCCTCCTCCATAGACTGCTGATCATCCCTCACATACGCCTCTTCTTCTGCTTTAACCTCAACTTTTATATCTATGAGATCTTCACCCTAAACCAAGAGAAGGATCAACAATAACATCTATAAAATATAAACTCACATATCACAAAAATCCACAAATTGTCTCCACAAGTCCATGTTCTAGATGCTCCATACCACCAACCTTGTAACAGTGAGGGATGGTGTGAACTTCCTGTGTGGAATCCCAGGAATACAGAGGACGAGGACATCTCTCTGGTGGGTTCCTGGTATTAGGTGGCTCCATCACATCCTTGTGTCCTTCTGAAAACTCCTCCATCACTCCATACTCCTCATCCTCCTCTTTATACTCTTCTTTAACAACAATATTATCATCTCCGAGGATTCCACTCTGAAAGATATAATAAAACATTCATTGTAACAAACATGCTGTGTATAAATCACAACTACCAATAATTGTCCTCCATCTACCTGATGATGGTGAGGGATGGTGTGACCTTCCTGTGTGGAAACCTGGGAATACAGAGGACGGGGACATCTTTCTGGTGGGTTCCTGTAGCTGTATGACTCCACCATGGTGTCCTGGTACAGATCTTTGTTTTTTTTCGGGATCCTCTGACTCATCTGACATCCTGACACCTTATAGGAACCTGACACACACAATGATACAGTCACCATCCAGACACATCCCTTGTCTGTTACTGGAGAATGTCCCAGAATTCCCGGCACCGCTCACCTCTCCTGTCAGCAGCTCAGTGATCTCTCTGGTGACTTCTAGAATCTTCTTCTTCTTTCTCTCTTCTATCAGGGAGGGAGGTGGAGGCAATGTGATGTCATATGATCTCCAGACTTCACAGGAGGAAAACTCTACATCTGAACACAAATCGTAAAATCAAATAAATTCCCAGAATCCTCCTCACCTTTCCAGTCACGTCTTACTTTTACTAACCCATTAGCTGCCAGGCCCTGCGCTTCACTTTTAAACCCTTATGGTCGGACCATTATTGTAATTTTTTCCATTTTTTTTTAATTTTTCCCTTTAAAGCTTTCAATTTGTAAAAGACCCCCCAAACCATATATTTTCTGTAAGCACATGACCAGTAAAATAAAAAGAAGGTGCTATTGATTTTTAAGGCTCTGCAATATTTACCCAAATGCTTATCAAACCAATGTTTTTGCTGAAAATACACTAAAATCATTATTAGGAAATACAAACACAGCAAAATTCCTGCTAAATATAAAATACCAGTACTGAGTTAATAAAAATGCAAATTAAAACAAAATATTTCTACATCTTAAATTGCGCCTTTTTGCAAGAAGGTAAAAATCGAAGGTACGCAAAAATGTAAATATCCAATTTTCTCTAAAAATCTGGAGGTTTTTATTTTGCAATTACAGCTTTCAGAGTTTGTAAAAGACCCTCAAAACAATACATTTTTTAAAAGGATAGGACCAGTAGAATAAACAGAAGGTGCGACTGATTTTTAAGGCCCCGTGACAATTGCGCAAATGTTTATCAAATCAATAATTTT